GACATGTGGTATCACAGTTCTTGACCACAAACGACAGGCATCTCTGAAGTCAGCTCTTTCATTTGCAGATAGTTCTGAGCTTAGAGTTTTAGAGTGTAGATTTACTGATCCAGAATCTACTGTCTTTGACTTCTACCTTTAATATCTAATTCAGAGACTAATGTAATTTTTAAAACTTTATTTATTAATTTTTGAGGGGGGTTGGGGAGGAGAGAAAGATAGAATCATTGATTTATTGTTCCATGTTTTTATGCCTTTATTGGTTGCTTCTTGTGCATGCCCTGACCAAAGATCAAAGACCAAACCTGCAACCTTGGCATATTGGCAAGGCACTCTAACCAACTGAACTACATGGCCAGGCTAAAATACTTTTAAAAGATGAAAATCTTGCATGATAAGCTATCCTTTAGCTAATTGTTTACAGAGGGCCAACCACAAAAGTACAATATAGTGTTTCTTGAACTTGATAGATTCTAATATTATTCTAGGTACCTGTTACATCCTCTGCTCCCCACACTCCACCTCAACCAGGCTGAATTAGAATCTGAGACCAAGCCTGGCAATTGCTTTCTTAACAAGAGCCTCAGGCGATTCTTAGGATCAGGCAAATTGGAGCCTGGTGGCATAGTGGATGAAGTGTAGCATATGTGGGTCCACCATTTACTCACTAGGTCAGCAATCCCCAACCTTCTCAGCACCAGGAACTGGTTTCATGGAAGACAATTCTTCCATGGACTGGGGGTACGGGACAGCAGGTGGAGGGCAAGGATGGTTTCAGGATGATTCAAGAGCATTGTATACATGAAAGCTCACCTCGTGCTAAGTGGCCTGGCACCTAACAGACCAGACTCATACTGGTCCACGGCCAGGAGGTTGAGGATCCCTGCACTAGGTAACCTTGGACAACTTATTTAACTTCTCTGAACCTCAACTACAAATCTGTGAGTTCAGAATAACAGCATCTACTTACAGGGCATTCAGGAGAAAAAATAAGAAGTCATAAGCCACAAAGCACAAGGCCTGTCAATACTGTCATCTCACTGACCCCAATGACCCTAGAAAAATAGCATCCCTATTATTTTTGCTCGGTGCCAACAATTAGCAATTAAAGCACCTGCAATCAGGATTTTAACTCAGATCTTACTATCTCCAAAATCTAAGTGCTGATACCCAGCATCAGGAGAAGAAGGTATCAAGTGGGCAGCAGGCTCAATAGTACAGAATGACCTATATATCCAGGTTCTGGCTCCAAATTCATGCTTGGACACAGCTCATATTACATCCTCAGGAGCAGCCATCAGGCATCAGCTCTGGCCAGCAAGATGCCCCCAGTACTACAGTAGGGAAAAAAAGTTGGCTTTAGACTTACTCCTGCTTCTACTTCTGCTTCTGCTTCTCCTCCTCTCCTGCATGCCACCTCTCCCTCCTTCCTTTTGGGACCATCCACAATTCCCACTTTCTCCAGGTCTACACCCAATCCTGCCCTAAGGAGCTCCTCTCCTGGGAGGCAGGGCAGGGACAGAGTTTGAGAGGCTGGTTTAGAGAACAGGGCAAGCCATGCTTTACTCCCCAGCTTCAAGGCACTGCATTATTACTTCGCTCCTCTGGATCTCAGCCTGTCTCTCTGCCTGCCTGTCTCTGTCTCTGTCTCTCTGTCTCTCTGTCTCTCCCTGCCCCCATCTCATTTGCAATAATGTTCTCAGCACAGAGCCTGGCTCTTCTGTCAAACAATCAAGAGCACCACAGCCCTAGCCTATCACCCCCTTTTCTCTAAAGAGACATTGTATTTCAGTTAAAGTGGGACCACCTGTGATTCATACTTTGGAACATGGTTTTATTCATGAGCTCTCCTTCATTTGTCCACACAAATATGCCTAAGTACAGGTGATACAGAAATAAAGGTGTCCAATCCCTGCTCCTGAAGCCTTAGAAGAAGAGGAAGACCCATACATTGATGAGTGGAAAACCATGTAAGGCATTAAGAACAAAGGGCTGGGTGGCACCAACTATGCTAGAGGAAGTCAGAAAAAAATAATGTTCATCTTGGGTTTTGAGGAATGAACAACTTTCCAGGCAGAGAAAGGCATGCCCAACAAAAAGCAGATCAAAGGCTCAGTCATGAACGTGGGCCCACTGTTCTCAAGAATGGTGAGATGCTGTGAGGGGTGAGGGTATGAGAGCCCAGTGACAGGAAATGGGGCTCTGTGAAATTATCTGCTCCAGACATAAGTTGCAAGATATCCTGCAAGAAATTGGGATGGGTGGAGGTTTTCTAAGCAAACTAGTGACATTATTAGATTTTTCTCTAAACTCAGTGTTGAACTCCTGGCACTAAAAAGGAGCTTTGATTGGAGCATGAAGAGGTGAAGCAGAGCCACTTCAGGTGATAGAGGAAAAGTTGCCGAAGACCATCTTTCCTCACCCCTGGTCTGGCCTGTAACACCACCATCCACCTCTGACCTGGCTTGATTTTGAAGTCCAATCAAGTCCTCACTGGAATACCAGGCTCCAGAACAGAGGGATGGGAGGAGACAAAGATGAGAGACAGAGGAGTTGAAACAACTGCAGGGACAACCTGAAAATAAGCTGGGAGAATACTATTCTGTGTCTGGTGGCTTACAATGTCCTGAAAGAAACGAGAGATAGACCGGGGTTCAAATTCCACCTCTACTCTTTTCTACCTGCTTGGCCTTGGGTAATTCACTTAATCTCTCTGAGGCTATTTACTTACCTATTAAATCAAGGTAACAAGCCTTACCTCAAAAACGTGTTCTGAGGATTAAACTATAGACATACTTATTTTGTTGCACTTTGCTATATTGTGATACTCACTTTATTGCAGTGGTCTGTAAACAAACCCGCAATATCTCTGAGGATTGCCTGTAATTGACGTCAAGTGGCCAGCGTAGTGTCCACTGTAAGGAATAATGCATCTCTAAATGTTATTAAATTGATTATTAATATCATCATTTTTATCTTACGGGAGAGGAAGCTGAGCTGTCAGACTGAAAAGACCTTCAAAAATTGTGCCCCACCCCTGGCACCATGATGGACTCAGCCCCCCAAGTCGCTCACTATGCTGTTGTGAATTCCTAGGTGAGACCCTGACCAGTCCCTTCTAAGTTGCTTTATGCCCTCCTGGGCTGTTTGCAGCTTCTGCAGGATAGGATCACATTTCTCACCTGAGCCAGTGGGCCTGGGAGAGTGTGGGCCTTGCCGCTTGGGCTTTTTAAGAGGGCTCACATGACAACCTGGCAGGACACAGCTGTTCCTGGCAGGGGCATTAATAATCCAGGCTTTTCCCGCAAACTCTGGCAAACAGCCTAAAGTGACAAGTGAAAACATTGGGTCCAAATTCTCACTGTGGCTAGGGGCAGAGGAGGCCAAAATGACTTGACTTTATCAGGCCTAAATCATGAAACTGAACCAGTCCCTTTTGCGGGGGCACAGGTGGGGAAGGGCAGGGTGGAACTGTGCTCCTTGCATCATAAACTTCTATACTGCCTATGGGTGATTTCAGTGGAACTATTCAGAGATGGGGCAGAGGGAATGGAATCCATGTGACTTGGTGGCTGAGGAGTGAACTCAGCCATGGATTTCATCCCAGCAAAACCAAAAACAAACAAGAAAAAACCCCACATAGCAGCCACCACAGGCAGCCCAGAGACACCTGTGACAGGAGACCTTATGAAGAGCAAGGCCATCTCCCCTCACAAACAGGGGAACATGTTGGGTAGGTCCAGCAGGATTTATTTTTGTCTCTTTTGCTTATACTGTATCAGCACAAAAAACGAACAAGCGAAATAACATAAAATAAAATAAAACCAGTGCCTGGCATGTCCTGGCTGGTGTGGCTCAGTGGATTGAGTGCCAGCCTGCAAACAAAAGGGCCACCGGTTTGATTCCCAGTCAGGACACATGCCTGGGTTGCAGGTCGAGAGGCAGCACATTGATGTTGCTCTCACACATTGATGTTTCTCTATCTCTCTCTTTCCCCCCTCTACTCTTTCTAAAATAAAGAAGTAAAATCTTTAAAAGCATAAAACAAAAAACAGTGCCTGGCACCATGGTACTCAGTTGATGTGAAGACTTAAGAGACATGGGTTATGGAGGAAGAATACAGCACCTTCAGATCTAGCAGCACCAGTTAGTAACTATGCAGATTCAAACAAGCTATTTGTTCTTTCTAAGCCCGAGTCTCCTCATCAGGAAAATGGGATAATAGCATGTACTTTGAGAGGTTCTTATAAGAAATAACTAAAATAATCTGTGTAAATGACCCTAAAGTCTCTAAAAAGATCCTAAAATAATGTTTGTTAGGTAACAGTCCCTCAGTAAATGGCTTCTCAGAATTAGACTTTGGTCTTCAAATAAAAACAGATCTTGAGTGTTGACTCTAATTCTTATAGTGGGGGGCGGGGAATGGGGGTCAATGAAAAGAGAATGTAAAACAACTGCAGATAATAAATCAAAAGAAAATAAAGGAAGACCTCTATGGTCATACCTCCCTGTGTGATCTTGGGCAAATTACATACCTCTCTGGGTCTCAAAATTTTCTATGGTAAGTTGAGAGGTTGGATTTGATTGCTGGTCTTCTCATTGTGCTCCTGGCTCCCTAGGTAGTCTGTGGAGAACCTGAGGAGCTGTCTTGGGGTAAGGAGGGAGACAAATGTGCCCCATGCAGCTTCAGAAAGCTTCCCTAGCGGGGGCTTTCTACTGAAGAAACAGTTCCACACTCAGTCCTTAGTCCTTTGCAATATAATGTTTTCTCCAAGGTCACCAGTATCTTCCCTATTAACAGCTCTCTCCAAGAACAGAGTTCAAGTCTAGGGTAAGGCAAGGAAGGTACCTAAGAGTACAAAATTAAGGGGGCCCTTACTCTCAGGACTGTGCAAGTACAGGGTTAACCACCCAACTCTGAAGGCCTCCTTAACTTTTGCACCCAGATGCCTGGCCTCATGCTAATACCAGCCCTGAGTCCCCAGCCCACCCTCACTCACCTCGCTGGCATTTGGCACCATCAGCCACCGTCTCTGGAAATTTCTCCCAACTGCCTTCCATGGCACTGCCTTCCACAGGAACAGGGGAAGTGTTCGGAGTTCTGCTTCTTTTTGGCTCCTCTCCTTCCTCCTGGCAAGAGGAGTGGGACAAGGAGAGAAATGGATGGGAGAGAAAAGCATGTCAGGCAAGAGGAAAGCATGGAGCGGGGATTGCTGAGTCTTCCTTAGGATATGCTAAGTCTGAGGGGTTAGATGAAATGCAACAGGCAGGAGGGTGAGGCAGGTATGAACAGAGATTTTCTGCCAGGGGAAGAGGTTGGGAGAGAGATTTTCTCCACTCATGTGACAGAATCTTCTCTCCCACTCATTTTTCCTCGCCCACCATCCCTGTCCAAATCAGGTCCGCAACACCTAATATTAGCACACTCATGACAGCCTCTTAGCTCGTGCTTGCTTCCCTCTCTCTCTCCCCTCACCACAAAATTACTCTAAGCCCAGCTCTGAATAACCATGCCCTTCCTCGGATACTTAAAACGCTGTCTTCCATGTTTACTCCACTAAGTCCAAGATCCTCAGTGTAGCATACAAGACTGCACTCCCTCCTCACCCTCAGGTCTGCAACACCCTACCACATGCAAATGTGACCCTAAGCAGTAGGCCACCTAATGCACCACCACTCCTTCAATTTACCCTGGCCTGTTGCCCTGATTTTGCTCTAGCTCTTTTCTTCCTCCAGTGCACCCTCATCCCAATTCCACCTGCTGAATCTTTGCACCTGAAACAGCACACCCACTTCCTTCTCTTCCCAAATTCTGCATCCAGGCTTGTCAATGCCTAGAGTTGTTTCCAGATGAGAGTACACTTTCCTTTCTGCTCCACCAATAATGTCTGTACAACATCAGTTTAGGTGATACTGTGGGTTCAGCTGCAGACCATAGCAATAAAGTGAATGCTTTCAATTTGTAAAAAGCACAACATCTGTGAAATGTCATAAAGCAAAGCACAGTAAAAGGATGTATGCCTCTACAGCAAAAGCAAGGCCCTTGCCTGGTCTTCAATTAAGAGCCACAGGGTGAAAAAACAAATACCTGCACAGCAGCTGCCAGGAGACCAAAACATGCAAGTAGGTTACCTTTAACAATATCTTCAGCAGAAAGTTTGTCAGCTGCAGGGAGGCAGCCATCTCTACTTGTTTTTCTCTTTATTGGCTTTTGCACCTAGCCCAGCTGTGGGCTCCAGCATGCTCTCAATAAATACTAAGTGAATTAAATTAATAAGATTCTCCTGCTGAGAGCACCGAACTAATTCCAGAAAAAAATAATTATGGAATTATTACCATGAAAAAGGATTTTCTTACCTTTTCCATCTAAGGATGACCCCACTGATGATAGGCATGTTCTAAAACCAAATTGTGGTGATGGTTGCACAACTCAGTAAATTTACTCAAAACCCCTGAGTTTATACTTAAAGCAAGTTAATGTCATAGAATATAAAGTTGTTTATAATGAGCCCTGGCCAGATGGCTCAGTTGGTTGAGTACTATCCTGTATACCACAAGGTTGCAGATTCAATCCCCAGACAGGGCACATATCTAGGCTGTGGGTTCAGTCCCTGGTTGGGGTATATATGGAGTGTATATGGAGGCAACTGATTGATGTTTCTCCCCCCACCCCACCAGTTCCCCTCTCTCTAAAATCAACATGCACGTCCTCAGGTGAGGATTAAAAAAAAATCTGTATAATGAAAGTAAAATGGTGGTTGCAGAGGCTGGAAGAAAGTGCAAAGAGAAGTTGCTTAATGAAAACAGAATTTCCATTTTGCAAGATGGAAGGAGTTCTGGAGATCATTGGAGAACAATGCGAGTATATTTAACACTACTAAACTGTACACTTAAAAATGCATAAATTTTGTTTGTGTGTGTTTTACCACAATAAAAAACTTTTTTAAAAAGTCCATATAATGATCAAAATCACCATGATGACGCATTGTTTTTAGCTGAGTAATAAGCTAAATCATGAACATACTAAAAAACGAACAAAAAAAAAAAGACACAGCCGCGTAAAGCATGACTCTGAGCTTAGTCTCAGTCCCCATGGGATCAGTGCAAGGTGCCAGTTACCACTGCTGCTGCACAGGCGGGTGGTTGAAAGTCTGCAGGCCAGTGCCGTCGTGTGCTGCCCCCCAACTTCAAGGCTTCTACATCCTCCTCCTCCAATCTCTTCCTACAGGGTGCGTGAGCCCATCTGGAGTGCAGAGTAGGCTCGGGGAATGGGATCGTTTCTTCAGAGCCTGAGCCCCACTCACACCTGGACCACCCATGCCCAGTGCAGGTTTCCAGAGAGCACCCCATTCTTCTGGGAAAGCACTTCCCACCTACTCCAGTTCCCATTTCAACATCACAACTTGCTGATGCCCAAGAGAACCCTCCTCCTCCTCCTCCTCCTCCTCCTTCTCCCACACACTCCTAAGGGAAGGGCCTGAGGCTCTTCAGGTTCCCATAGCAAGGTGCACACCATATGAGATTCTATTCTATCTGCCCTAGCTCAGAGGGTTTACAGCTTAATGACTGAAACTGTGGATTTAAGTGTCAGACAGTCTGGGTTTGCAACAAGATAGTAGAACGCTAGGAAATTCCTGGGCAAGTGGAATGAGAAAACTGAGACAAGAAAATTAAACAAGGACAGTCTGAGCAGTTACAGCCAGTTGGTGAATAGGAAGACATTATCTTACCTAAACAAGGACACCTGAGAGTAAATGGTTTCTAACTCTCCTCCTTAACCAGAGAATACATCACCACCCTGAACATAAACCACAGTTGTCAGGGAAGAGAGGAATTCTAATGCAAACAGAGAGGTAACACTGGAGCAAAGGGAGCCAGCTTGGGAAGAACCTGTGGACTACCCTTCCAGCTCCTTCCCCCAAGAGAAATAGTGGGTCTGCCTGCACTCCCCCTAGGAATTTCCCCCTCCCAAATTCCCATGTTTCCCCTATATAAACTTGCTTTTGAAAGCTCAAAATAAGGTGGATGTTAGGGTTTTTACCAGCCACCTCCTCAGACTGCTGGACTTTGATATTAATAAAAAGTGCAATTATAACCCAAGCCCTGTCCCTGCTTTTGATCTGAGCGGTGACAGACATCACAAGCCCTAGACTCGTGATAGACATCGTGAGCCCTGGACTCAGTTGCCCTCTGGTTTCCATTCCAACTTATTCTGCCATTCCTAGCTATATGACCTCTCTGTGCCTCAGTTTTCTCCTTTATAAAATGGAGATATTAATAGTACTTAAGTCTTAGGATTGCTTGGGAGAATTAAGTGAGTTTCTATGCAGAAAGCACTCTGTACCTGGACCACAAGTTCTATATAATTGTTAGCTATCATTGTTATTTTTTCCAGCATTAGAGGTATCTCTCCATCTAAAAGTGGAGACCTTGAATAATAGAAGATGCTAAGTATAGAAAGGGCCCGAGGCCATGGCAGCTTCCCTTCGCACTTCAAACCTTGATATTTGAGAAAATCATCCTGGGTCAACTCTAGAGGTTTCTTCATCTCAGCTGCCAGGCACCAGGAAGGGCCTGGTGGGAAGAGAACTTACCGCACAGCACAATAAAAAACCCAGCACTTACAGGTTGTCTGCTCATCTATGAGGGGAGGGGAACCTTCTGCAGAAAAATATGTAGGTCTATAAAATACCATTTTATTGGAGCCATGACAATGAAGACGGAAGAATTTCCTATAACTGACTAACCTGGTCAAAGGGCAATGGGGTACAGATGGGAATCCTTGAAAACTGGAACATATTTCCCACAAACCTGGATCGGAGGAAGGAAGGAATGGATGATATGGCAGTTAAGATACTTTGCACAACAATGACAAGTTAGAAGCTGTGCTGCCACCCCAGACAAGATGTGTAAATGACTTTCAGAGCATTCAGGGACTCGTGACATAGGCATGGAAACTTATACAGCACCTGTGTGAGAGGCAGGAGCCAGATGCCCCTACGTCACAGGGAACTCTTGCCGCTGCCCTGACTAAGGATGGCAGCTGAGAGAACGTAAAAGATACAGGGGAACTGGCAAAAAGTAGCACATTGTAAGAGAGGCCAAATATGAGGTCATGTAGGAAATTCCGGGTCAGCATTTAAAATAAGGGAGAGCTGAGAGAGAAAGGGGTAGCAGCCATGCAGTTTGAAAAGGAATTTGCCATGAGGTCTGAGAGAGGAAGCAGCAAGCAACTATGCAGTTTGTTGTCAGAATTCAGCCAAGAGGATTGGTGTGTAAGGTAGAAGCCATGTTGGCCAAAGGTCAGGATTCTACCAATTGAGTTGAGGAAAGGGCATAAGGGGAGAGCTGATGGAGTTGTGTGGGAACCTGCCTAACCACCCAGATTTGTGGGAGATTCTTGAGCTCAACTGTGACAGGGAATGTTGAGACTGTAGACCTTGGCTTCTCTGAAGAATGTACAGAGAAGCTGCTCTCTTGGGAAGTGTGCCTTCCTGGACTCCACCATGATCCAGAGTAACAAGACACATTTCCCTGAACTATTACATGGAGGATGAGGACAACGAACCCCAGATCCTGAAGGAGAGAGAGCTGCTGTGAGAGGATGGTGACTCTCAAACCCACGAGAGTGCCTTCCAGAGCGGGTAGAGATCTGTTTGCACAACTGGCTTCAGAACAAATAAGGATGTAGGGAACTTCTGGGCATGGTTTTGGCTTATAGCCTGGTGGGAAGCAAGGGAAGCACTCAGTATCATGGGAGAACATGGGTTATGAGCAGGAGTGCTCCCAGTACCCCAAGGCTGAACCCCTGTAAATAAAAACCTGTTTCCTTCAATGCTAATTGTTGGATCATGCATCAAGGCAACACATGTATGAGCCCCTTTTTGCTCAGTTACAAAAGGACAAAGGAAGTCAGACTCCTGGGGGAGCTCCAGAAGTGGTGGGAGGGGCACTAGGACCTCTAGCTTATCACATCTGAAAAGTACAGGCTGTGGCCTAGAATCACACAGCCAGGCCTGGGTGATAATAAAGAGAAGGAGTCACATGATAAGCCATTAGAGAAATGCAAATTAAGGCCATGAGCTACCACTGCCCATCTATTAAAAGAACTAAAACAAAAATATAACAACACCAAATGCTGGCAAAAAGGTGAAGAACGTAAATCTTTCCTACATTGCTGGTGGGCATATGAAATGGTACAGTCACTGTAGAAAGAATTTGGCAGTTTCTTTAAAAATTAAAAACATACTTTCCATACAACCCAGCAATTGCATTCCTGGGCATTTATCCCAGAAAAACAAAAACCTGTACATGATTGTTCATAGCAGTTTTATTGGTAATAGTCAAAAATTGAAAACAACCAAAATGTCCTTCAATGGGTCAATAGTGAATGGTGATCCACCCATACCATGAAACACCACTCAGCAATAAAAGAGCAAACTATCAACATTCTCAACCACCTGGATGGACCTGAAGTGCAGTATAATGAGTGAAAACAAGCTAGTCTCAAAAGGTTGCATGTGGTATGATTCTATTTATAGAACATTCTCAAAATGACAAAATTACGCAGATGAAAAATAGGGGATGGGGCTAGGCCAACGCGACAATGAAGGGTGGCATAAGGGAGATCTTTGTGGTGATAGAACAATTCTGTATCTTGATTGCAGTGGTAGCTCCACTCATCTACCTATTCAAGAAAATAACATAGAACTACATACACAGTGTACCAATCTTAGACTCCTGGTTTTGATACTGTACTATAATTATGTAAGATGAAACCATGGGAAGGAACTAAATAAAGGATGCACCTGGCGCCTCTGTACTATTTTTGCAACTTTCTATGACTTAATAATTCTCTCAAAAGAAAAAGTTTTTTTTAAAAAAGAAGAAGAAAAAGGTGCTCAGACAGTAAGTGAGACAGCTGAGATTCCAGTCCAAATCCTTCTAATGCAAAATCCCAGTGTTCCACTCAAATTATTTACAATTTTGCACACACCTGACATTCTATATCTCCATGCCTTTGCACATACAAACTGCTACCTAGACTGTCCTTCCTCCACCTATTTAACTTTTCACTTCCTTTAAGACCTAATTGACATACCTTCTCCTCCAGGAAGCTTCCCTGACTTCAACTAAGATTACTGACTTTTCCTTCATACTTCCTATGCATAGTACTTATTTAACTAGCTTGTTATTATTAATTTACTTAGTACTCTCTCCCACCACATGCAAGCCACAGAATTGGAAAATATATTTGCAAACATCTCCAATAAAGAACTAGTCTATAGAATGCATAAATAACTCTTATAACTCAATCAGAATAAAACAAATTACCCAATTTTTTTAATGGGCAAAATACCTGAACAGATATTTCACCAAAGAAGATGGAAAATAAGCACATGAAAAGATAATCAACATCATTAATCTTTAGTAAAATGCAAATTAAACCATTATAAGATAGCACCGTACAGCTATTAGAGTAGCTAAAATTAAAAAGACTGACCATGCCCAGTGTTGGCAAGGAAGTGGAGCACCTGGAACGCTCATGCACTGCTGGTGGGAGTGTAATATGGTACAATCGCTCTAGAAAATAGTTGGGCGGCTTCTCAAAAAGTTAAATATACCCTGCCATATGGCCTACCCATTCTATTCCTGTGTTTAGCCAAGAGAAAACAATGCATATATCCCACAAAAAAAATTTTCACAAATGCTTACAGTGGCTTTATTTTAATAGAACAAAAAAAAAAAAAAAAGGAACAACCCAAATGTCTCTCAACAGATGAATGGATAAATAAATTGTGGTATTTCCATACAATGAGATACTATTCAGCAACAAAGGAATGAACTGTTGATACACATGAATGAATATCAATAGAATTACACTGAGTGTAAATAGAGCACATACTGTATTATGCTATTTACAGAAAGTTCTAGAAAAAAGCAAAGTAACCAATAGTAATGGAAAAGCAGATTTGTGATAGCCTGGGCATGGGAGGCAAAATATAGAGAGGGGAGGAAAAAGGGATAAATGATGGAGAAAACTTTGGGTGGGGGAGGAGTTAATGGTTATGCTCATTACTTTGGGGGAGAATTTCATGAGCATATACAAATAATGTCTAAACTCATCAAGCTGTGCAATTTAAATGTCCATTTTTTGTCTATCAATTGTACTTCAGTAGAGATACACAAAAAAGTAATGCATACCATTAAATAGTCACCTATTTTGTGGAAAAAACATTATATAAGTAATTATTAATATTCAATCTAGGTGGTTATCATTAGCCCACTTTACAGATGAGGTAACGAGGTGAGAAAGACCAGGTAATCATGCAGCTATGGCCAAGCCAGGCTCAAACCCAGGTCAAATGTCTCTGAGGGGCTGGGGCACTTTTCTCTGTATTGTGATGTCTTCCTGTAATGGTGAATTCCCAGCAAGAAGCCATAGGTGACAGCCCCCTGACCTAAGCAAGTCCTCCAGGAAAGGCCTAAAAGAAGGAGGGGGAAGGGCTGGCATCACTGAGAGGACAGCCTTTCTACTCTGGGTTGCAGGTCCAGGGTCACACAAGCTAAAGCAGGAAGTAGGCTGCCTCTGCTCCCCAGAACATTCCTCCCTATGCGGCCAGAGTGTGGTGTGAAGGACCCTGACCAGACATTCACAAGAGCAGGTTCTACTTCACTTGTGTCATAGACAAGCCTCTTCCCCTTTCTGGGCCTCCATGTCCCCAGATGTTAAGATGTGGAGGCCAAACCACAAGCTTTCCAAAGAGCTCTTTCAACCCTGATTCACATTCTAAGTCCCCAGCTGACTCAAGAGTTTTCTCCCGAAGTTGTGCCATGGATAGAAAGGATTTTTGATTGTCTACAAAACTGTACACTCAGCCTCCCCATCAACAGGAAAAGATACCTACCCAACTCAGCAGTGCCTACCCAAGTCATTCCCTCAACCATGCTGACTCCTTCCCTTGGCCCTCACCCTCTGCAAGGGTCTTCCAAAGACCATGACTCACCGTTTGCTGCTTTGTTCCCCAGGTAGAAGGTTGAGCACTTAAAGCTCTATTTTCAGAAGTCTGGGAACCCTGGGACACGCAGAGCAATCCGAGACATGCTTTCCCCCTTTAGAATTCTTGCAGGAAAGATTGGAGCTGAGTAGTTACAGGATGATATATGTCATATGCAGTCTTGATGTAAGGAACTCCTTCCTTTGCCACACCTGTGTACACAAGCATAAGCCAGGATCTCTGGGGCAAACAGACCAGGATAATTGAGTGGGTGCACAATAGGCTTTCAGTCAATAACTGAAATGGAATTGAATTAAATCCCTCTTGTCAGAGAAATAACCTTTTACCCAAACACAGGAAAACCAAACAGATGCCCCTCAGTATGTTCCCCTGGAAAGAGCACTGAGAGCCCAGAGGCTGAGAAGGCCCCTACTTCGAACTGGCTGAGGGGCCTGGGGCTATCAGCAGGCCACCTCACTTCTGGGCATCACACAAATAAGTAAACTACACTAAAGGACTCTTGATGCATCCAGCCCTGATGCTATCTTACTGCATAGGAAAAGCCATTGGGGTTGAAAGGAACAATGTGGCCCTTTGTAAAGCTCCAAGCACTCGGAGCTGCAACTGTTCAGGTAGCTTCAGAGATAGAACAATGTTCATCAAGGAAAAGGATGCTACTTGTTGCAACTTGATTTGGGAACTCCCACCCACATGGGTGAGTACTTGCTGTAAAAAGTGCCCCCTAACTTTGAGAAGCTGTGGAGGTCACAGACAGGCTTAGATTATATCTCTGTTGCTTCTGAGCTGTGAAATCTTGGGCAAGTCTCTTTACCTCTACAAGGCTCAGTGTAAACTTTGGCTGCCTGGCGATAGAAATGCCTACCTTGTTAGGTCATTGCAGAATAAAATGAGATCATTCAGAGTGAACACAGGGCACAGTGCCTGTAGCCATCATGAGCTCAAACACCATTTTCTTCCCTTTCTCATACATACACCTAAGGGTCCTCAGAGTAAGATCTTCTCAGCTGATTTCACTGGCCTGGAAAACCTGGCCCCTGATGGGGGGGGAGGGGCTTAATTTCTCCCACTCCAGAGGCCACCTCCTGATGAAATGCACTGGGGCTATGAAAGCAGAGGCCGGGGAGAGCCTCAGAAGGACAGAGGCAGGGCTGGCACCGGAGACCATCCATCCTGCCGCCCTGCCAGGTGCATGCAAGGGCTTAGTGAGCAGGTGGCCTCTGGAACAGAGTCCCCATCCCCCAACCTCTTCCTCCCCCACCTGGTTCCCTGACTCCCCAGGACCACATGCCATCACCTCAGGCACAAAAGAAAACCACCAGCTGTGTGACCTAGCTACTTAAACTGAGGGTGTGGGACCTGACGGCCTCTATACACGTTCCACCCTTGTAATTTTCTGAACTACAATTCTACAGTCAACTGGTGCTTAACTAATGCCTCACCTTCTCTCATCTCCTCCTTCAGGATCCAGGAAAGAGGTGAGGAGAAGAAACTAAGAGGTTCAGAAAGTAGAGGAAGAGGGCAGATGCTGGGGCTCCATTATGCTAATCTAATTAGCTCTAATCTGCTGACAGCAGGGCCTTGAAGAAAGACGCTTTTGTTTAAACTTCACATTTGGCAGGAAGTGCCCCTTCTCCTACTCCCTCCTCTACACTCCCCCCCCACCCCCATTAGAGCTTATGAGTCAAAAGCTCTGATTTCAGTCCTGGCTCTCACAACTGGTAGCGCTGGGGCTTCCTGTTCACACTTCTCTGACCGACTTCTTGATTTTTCCAGCAAGGAAATTTGCCCCAGATGTTGGTCAGTAAATGGAGAGTTTTCATCTGCCCTTATGAAAGGGTGTCAGTAATTCACAGATTCCCCCCAAGAAGCGAGAGCCAAGGGGGGAAATGCCAGCAACTTCTCTCCACCAGCATACCAAAGTTTTACCAATGAACTAAACCCCCTCCCTCCACAGGGCAGGGAGCCTTACAGCATACACAAAATATTTCGTTTTCCCTGTCTTAGGAGACCCTCCCAATGTTCTTACGGGATAATAAAAACAGAAAGCTCACTCTCATTCATTGTTTAATGAATGCTTATTGAGCAGAGAGATGCACAGGTGACGGTGATGTGCCTTGCCCATGCTCTGCCACCCAGCCTGTTGGTGGTAGAGCAAGCTCTGGAACCGAGGATGTGCTGGCAGTCCGAATCTCCAAAACAAAACAGCCCTGGTTTGTAGCACTGGCTAATGTCCGCGGTGTAAATTTTCCCACCATGGCCAATTTCAAGCTGCCAACAATCTTTAACAACCGGTTTGCAAATCCTGAATGTTTAAAAGTCTGCTCTCAAGGAGCCTCCAGACTAGAAACTAGTTCTCCTGGCTCCTAAGTGAGTGTTTTTTCTGCCTCACCTCTCTATCTCCATGCAGGAGAAGCCAGCATGCTATGCAGGCTTAAAGAGTAACCTTAATAAAAACTACCTGGAAGATTAACAGCAGCCAGATTTCAGGCATGTTTTATTTTCTTCCACATCAGTAGTTTTCCAAATATTTCATTATAATCAGAACATATCTAGGTCATTAAAGTCATTTTTTAATGAGCTTATTGGAATGTTTTGCAATAACTTTCCCCCATATAATTTCTGTTACTCTATTTCCTTTGGGCTGTAGAGAAACAGACAGACACAGAGAAAGAGTTTCCTAGGAGCTTGACTTCCCTTGCAGAACAGAACAGGTGCACCTAAATTAAGCATTCACCTGAATCAGGTGCAGTCTTACCCAGAGAATAAATTTACTGCCTTTGGAGTTCAAATTTCACCAGCAATTGGGAAAATACAACCCCCTGTTCAGGTTCTGAAAGACCTGCTCTGAAAAATCAAAGCCTCTTGGGCCACCAAATGACCCTGCTTCCCAATGGGTTGAGGTGGAAACAGATGGTTTGACTGAACAACAACAACAAAAAATGTTGCTTCTTTCCTGGGCCTTAGAGAAGGTTTTCACACACACCCCCCCACCCCCCAACAAGAGGCATTCTGCCCTCTCTGGCCCCAGACTGGGACTGAAGGGCTCTTACCTCAGTGCTAGGACAGAGACCTGGCACCAAGGCTGGGCAGGTTCAAGGAGGCCAGTTCGCTTCAGCTGGGCACCATAGCCGCTTCTCTCTGGGCTGCTGGCTGCAGAGCTCTGCACAGTTGGCTCTACCTTGCCTACAGAGAAGGAAAAAAAAAAACAAAGCAAAGTTGCCTGCAAAGCACCAGAGGCACATATGTTAATAAATGCAGGAGGGGAGGAGCCCTTGCCCCTCCTACTCCCAGCCCTGGTCACTCCTACCAGGTCAGAGCCCTCCCAGAACAGTCTCACCTGAAGGAGCCAACCTATTCCCCAGGGTTCAAACTGGGACCACCTATTCACCCAGACCTACCCTTTCTGGAGCTGAGCAATTTCACAGTGGACTGTAGATTTAGCAAAGCAAACTGCTACAGACATTGAACCCTGGTGCTAATTACTTGCTATCATTCACAAGGGAAATAAAAGTGAAAAAACTATAGTTCCTGCCCAAAGTATTGTTTAGAGAAGGCTTGCAGACAACTGATCTCAATCAACAAATACATCAGACTTGCTCAAGTCACCCTTGGACCTATGTAGTAAGTTGTTTACGATGTCATAAATGTGAATTCAATTTCTAATTTATTTGGGGAGCATTTTAACTGAGTCTGAATTTTCAACCCATATATTATTATAGCTGTCTGAGTGGATAGCATTTGTTTTTAAAGTAATTGTTTTTCTCAGTTCCAAAGAAATTCATGTTCATGTCTAGAAATTTCAGAAAATGTAATTAAATCAAAAAAAGGAGAAGAGTTACCCATTCTTTCTCCCCCCAGCCAAGGTAACTGCAAATAATACATACTTCCTTGTTTTATTTTATTAATCAGACTTTTTACAAAGGTGCAATAAAGCCAGACAATTTACATGGCTGTACCATAAATTTACCCCACTCCGAAAGGCTGGACAGTTAAGTCATCTCCAACATCTTTTTGTTAATTACAAATATTCTTTGTAAAGCTGGGTCTTTAAGGAAAATCCATGGTTATTTCCTTAAGACACGGTCTTAGAAGTCAAATTGTTGGATCAAAGAGTTTCCAAATTTTTTATGTTACGTTTCTCTTGAAAATGAGCGCAGCCTTCAAGGAGTCTGGGTTTTCATATTTCATGCTCCCACGTAGCTCAGCCCAAGTCTAAGACAAGATCCATGATGATAAAATGAGCTCCCCTAACCACACTTGGGAAAGGGGTGCATGGTAAGGAGGGGAAAAAGTGAGAAACCCACCTAGGGACATAGAAGGAGTGGTAATACACAAGTGTGTTGACCAGAAGAAAGAGATGCAAAGAGAAACAAGAGTCATTTAGGTGCTGGTAGAAAAACTGACAGGCTGTCAGATGAAACAGAAGCCGAAACGAGCCATTTGAGGGTATGGAAATATGAAGGTCTTAAAAAGATTCAGGGCAGATCAGAGCAAACAACAAAGGCATCAGGTGAGATGGAAAAATAAAAAGTTGTATGAAGCATTTGAGAGTTTTGCTGCTGTCTATAATTAATGCCAACAAAACACCGGGAGCCAGAGTCTCCATAGGGAGAGTAAACCAGGCCAGAAAGAGACAAACACAGTTCAGCTGATGGCCACCTGGGAGCCTTCCATAGGGAGCCTCCCCCAGGGAATGCAGCAAGGCACTCTCAGGGCATGGGGACTACTGGGCTGCTGTTCCACCTGCCTCCTTAACAGAAAGGAGGCCCCCACTCTCCATCCCTCTCTAATCAGCCTCTCACCTCCTTCTTTTTACTCCAAGCCAACCTTCAGTGAGAGATGGATAATTCACCCAGTAATCTGTCTAAACATACTTAGGGGATTTCTGTGGCCCTGTGGCCCAGGCAAAGACGTGGTGACCCTAGTCTCAAGCCCCTTCCTAGCTGACCAGCCCCCTTACCACTCCACCCCATGTATCCTGCACTCTAGCCACATAGCAAATCATAGACAAATGCAGGGACGGAGGTTCCATCAATGCTTTTTAAATCCTTTGGAAGATGGCTTGCAGATCTCCCATGTTACTCAACCAGGCAAGTCATTTTACCTGTCCAACCTGCCACTATCCCACCCACTCACACTTTGGGCCTCCCCTGATGGTCAAAGGGTAAATTTTTTATTTAAAAGCAACTCACACCCTGGCCAGTATGGCTCAGTTGGTTGGAGCATTATCCCATAACTGAACGGTTGCATGTTCTATTCCTAGTTGGGGCACATACCTAGGTTGCAGGTTCAATACTCATCCCAGGCACATACAATCCCTGGTTCTGACATGTATGGTAGGCAACCAATCAATGCTTCTCTCTCACATCGATGTTTCTCTTTCTCCGTTCCTCTCTCTCTAAAAGCAATGAAAAAAATGTCCTTGGTGAGGATTTAAAAAAAGAAGAAGAAGAAGAAACAACTCACCCATAAATAAGGGACCTGGATCAATCAGACACTCTCAAAATTGCAAATATGAAAAAAGACTACAGCAAGCTTATAGGACCCTAAAGCTTAAAGGAAGTGTAGTGGGGGGCCTTATGAGGAGCAAATGTCATGCACAAGATCAAGTGATGGAACTTTGGGGACCTGCAGGAAGAGAGGAAGTTGTTAGACAAAGAAAAGGGGGTAAAGGCCCGTGATGAAGCAGACAGGAAACTGTGTGGCCGAAGAAACCAGATGCGTGGTGACTTTCCAGTAGCTGCAAGGCTCATCTGTACTTCCTACTTTTTATTTTTGCAAGCATTCCCTTAATCCCTTCAATAGACCTCTGAAGAGCTTGGTTTAGACCAGCTCTGGGGTCCAGCTGGCTCTGGCTCATTGAAGTCTAACTGGACTGTGCGTGAGAGCAGGGGACTCGCCCATGAACCAGTGCAGGCTTTGTGGTAGGGTCTTGCCCATCCATTGCGGCTGCTCAAAGCCTTTTTCTTTAAACTTTCCTTCCAAAGGTTGTGCATGGGCTTTTGATAGATGAGGCAACTGGAAGGGATACTCCCAGATTGCAGGTGTAAGTTTGCAGATATATGAGAAGTAATAACAGAGCTGTAGAGACTATATTCTTCTCTTATAAGATTCTTTCTATTAAGTACCTGATACCAACTCCTCCTATCACCCAACCAGCATCACACATTCAGCTGATCACAGGGCCCCCTTGCATGCCCCTGTCCCTGACTATATATCCTTGGGCTTCTTTGCAGCTTTAATACAGCATCTATTTAATGCACGACCCCACTGTCACCTGCGTGTCTTCTGCCCCCTAACCTGCCTCCTGTCCCATAAGGGTTACTGGTTTGACACCTAGATAGATTTGGTTTACTACTATTTTCCCAAGGCCTAACCAGCCAAGTAGGTAAAACTGATCTCCTTTCTCATGCCCAGAGCTGTCCTCTGCTTTAGTTCTGCTGCCCCACTCCTGCCTGCACTGTGCCCGTCCTTAAAGCCCCTGGTAGCAACTCAGTTAACCCCCTTTCTCCTCCACCCTCAGTCAGATCCAGAAGCATCAGAAGATAATTCTAAGGAGGAAGAGAGCTGGTAAGTGAGAGGCTGCCTTGGCCTCATCAGCTCCCTTGGAGGCTCCAGCAGGTGCTTCCCTCAGGTGTGCAGTGTGTGGGGCACTGACCTCAGCGCAGAACTAGGATTTACAGAGATCTCCAGAATCCAAAGAAATTCATAAAATGAGCCAAGAACATATCCCCTAATGACTTCATGGGCCAGCCTCCCCTGATGTAAGACTCCTCCAAGCAGGCTCTTACTAAAGGACTTGGTTTCGAGCCAGAGGAGGGGTTGGCTGGTCATGGTGGGCAGGGCTCTAACCCCAGGTCCCTGGCTTAAATGAGTGATCACACAAGGCACACAGGAGCCTTGGAGTAAAGATAAACTGTTAACCCTGGACTCATGAGTCCACATTATCTGGGAGGTGAGAAATTGTTCTGACTGTGTTTGGATACGCAAGCTAAATTAGCTAAGAGGCTTCATCAATTCCTGTGCATAAAACATTCTAGTATCTGGGTCTCTACAAATTTGCTGAGCTCTGCAGTCAGATCAGAAGACACTGCACTCAAAATACAGTAAGAACTTCTGCTAAAATCAGAAAACTTCCTGGATTATTTCTGCTCTCCCCTCCCCTCCCAAAGCTCTTGCCCTATCTGGATGGTTCATCTCTGGGGCCCAGACCCAACTTCATGGGGCTCCTAGCAGAGACCAAGGGTTAACCACAGTGTTCCTTTATATTTTTTAACTTTTTTTTGTCAATTACTATGTGCCAGGCACTCTGTGTACTAAGTCATTCAGCTATTCCTCACACAGTCCTATAAGGCAAGAAGTTTTCTCTATTTTCAGGTGAGGAAAGAGAGCTTAAGATAGGAACCCAGGCACAAAACCGGTAGGTGACTAAGCCAGTACCCCACACACTAGCCTTCTTCCCCAGGGCCTCTCTATCTGTCCGTGTTAGGGTAGAGCTAAACCAAGGTCTTTCAATAAAGGAGATGGAATTAAAGATGAGTTTAACACTGAATACACAGGTTCTGACAAAAAAGAGAAATGGTATAAGAATTTATTTTCAGAGACCCAGAAAAAGGAAGTGCTTCAGCCTTACACAGAATCCCCAGGGGAGGGTACCACATCTCGGTTCTTTGTATTTGTTACTATGTTTTCTACAACAACCAATGGCTGAGTTTTCATTTTGCTTATGTGAGGGGCCAATCTGGATATATGGAGAGACAGCAGCCCCTTTTTTAGTCAGAGCAGTACACATACATGATTTCAGTTCCTGCCCCACCTATTCATGCCCCTAATTTCTGTTGCCTAAAAGTCTCTAAATAGCATTCTATATGGCTCTTTTTTTCAATGTTAAATAATATTCATTAACTTCCTACACCAGGAAATAAGGGTTTAGCTCTTTTACCACCACCCTACACACCTCTTTTACTTCCCACATCCTCCTAATATAGTTATATCATTTTTTAAGTCAACACTAGAAGTTACATTATTATGATCAGATAAATTATTGTTCACAGCTCAGCCATGTGGTATGTTATGATTAATTCCTGTCTTGTACATTTGTTAGTTGTCAGTACCTATCACTAATTCAGCCCCCAACTTTCCAACAGTTCTTTTTTTGTTGTATTAATTTCTTGAAACTCTCCATTCGAGAACCTTCCATTCCCCTACTCAAACCCAAGCTAGTTATTGGCTCTCTAGTAAAGGGAGCATCCATTTCTTCTGTCTCAGTTTACTCCCTACCATTGGAGGAGCATATCTATAGCAAGCTTCCTCAGAAAGGATGTTATGGGAAGTAAAATAGTTGAGACTCCTCATATCTGAAAATGCCAATATTCCACCCTCACATCTGATTAATAATTTGTCTGGATATAAATCCTCAGTTGAAAATAATTTCCTTTCAAAATTTTAAAGGTACGGCTTGCCATGCGTGTATATTTGTGATACACAGTCTTTCCTGTAAATCAGCCAGGCAACTGCTTGGCCAGCTGCCTGCTGAGCAGCCCAGCACTAGGAACAGACAAGAGCCTCGCACAGTAACTATGCTATTCACTCAGCTTTTATTGAATGTTGGTTCACTCAAAGTAGAACATCAATATACATTAATATCCTACTCACGCTCTAACGATCTAGGTGAAATATAAAACACACCCACAGAGAAATCAATGGGGAATAATGACCCCGAGTCCCAGAGTCTCAGTCTGCAGGGGGACAGCACAGTGGGCTAGGGAGTTGTCAGTATCTTGCAAGGAAGGATCTCTGCAGCCAGGAGCACAGCAGGGCAGATGAAGTCCCTCTGTCCAGCAGGGCAGAGCCTCTGGTGACCAATGCCAGTGGAGGTCAGCATGACATGGAGTGGCTCTCTGTTGTGTGGAGGTCAGCTGCCTCAACAACGGTCTGGAGCCTGCCTCCATTATACCTTGAAAGTGGTGTCAGACATGGCTATTCTGGTCATGTGTACAGATATCTTAGGAGTATCTCCTTGCCAGATGTGTCTTCTCTGACTAGGGTAGTTTCCCTCTGGAACCAAAGTGTCATGGCTGACTGACAATCATTTTAGTCGACATGAATGACTCCACTTTGTTTTATATACTTTATGCTATCTTGATTGGACCAATGCCATTTTATTGGTCCTGCTCTCCACATGGCTCCATTGTCTCCTAGCTTCTAATGTTAGTTTAGAATCAGATTTCTCTTCTTCCATGTAATAGTTTCAGGTTTGCTTTTTTCCTCTGTCTACAAGTTTTTCCTCAGTTTTTTCCACAATGGTATGCTTTGGTGTGTGTCTTTTTTCATTCATAGTCCATTCATTCATTCATTCAAATAAGTTTTCAATCTAAAAGCTTGTGTTGTTCCACTCTCAGAAGTTTTATTGTATTATTTCTTAGGATTCTTACCCTCTGGTGTCTCTATTCCCTTTTTCCGTAAGTCCTACTACTCAGATTTTAAACTTTTTAGAATGATTCTTTCTTATTTTTCATTTCATCATCTTTTTTTGGTTCGACTTTTGGCAAGTTTTCTTCAACTTTATATTCCAAATTCTTCACTGATTCATTTCCTTCTGCTATGATTCTTTTAATTTCCAAGAGTTCTTTTTCTCTGCATCAGCATCTTCTTTTAAAATATGAAGAATTTGGAATTCCAAATGCTTATCAGGTACCAGCATTTGAAACTATGCCTGTAAAAAAAAAAAAAAAAATTGTGTTTTTCCCCTGGTAACTAAAATTTCTTTTAAGAATCTTTCCAGGAACAAACTCAGTTTTCAGCCTTAAGACCAGGCACAGCAGGCCAAGCTGATGAGGGCACATGCAGAGGTAGGCGTTTTCTCTGCAGTCTTTATTGTATTAATGTGACATCTTCTCTTGCCTCTATGATGTTGGTAATTATAGTTTTTGTGAAGTTCTCTACTGCTCCCTACATTGTCTCTATTTCTTGTGAGGTTGTTTGTTGTTGTTGTTTGTCTCATTTTGTTTCTGTTTTTCACGTTTCAAACTTTCTCAAATATCTGGTGATCCTTAGTGGTCTTTTTTTAATTTAAAAGTGCCACACTAAAAAGCTGACCAGAAGCTCTGTGTGTGTGGTCAGGGCTGCGGGACTGGCAGATTTTACAAGAAAAGGATTGAGAGTAATCTGTCCATTGTATTTAAAGAACCCTAAATAGCAATATCTATGGGCCTTTGCTCATGGGCTATTCAACTGACAGAGAGACTCCTCTCTCCTTACAACTAGGGAGTATAACCCTAGCTTGCCAGTACTGTGGGAACCCACAAAAAAATTAGGGTGAGGAGTAGTGATCTCATTGTTCAGTATGTAGACTTTCTGTTTCATACCCTCTGTTTCACAATATGCCCATCTCAGCTT